ACTCCAGCCATCGCTGCATTAGGAGAATCTCGACAGCCCTCAGCCATCCCATCGCATTTGAATGCAATATGAACTTATCAGTGAAATGGTTTGAACTTTACCAGTGAAAGTTTGTTAGGGTTTTTAGGATTTTATTAATTCTCGTGCATGTGAAGGAGCTTGAGGATACAGTAGTTTATCTAAAAAATTACATAGTTCACTTACATTTGAAGAAAAGTTTTTCATTTATAATTTTTGCTTTTGATTGTGAAACGAATAATTTTTCTGAGAATTTGCTAACTTGTTTACACATATTTTTGAATCCCTGGGATTCAAAAATGAACTGATTGTGATTAATAGAATTGCAAAATTTCACATAGAAAATTGGAAAAAACGGAATACTTCCTTAAACAAGAAAATGTCACCTTCTTGTTTAAGGAAGTATTCCGTTTAACTAAATTAATACGCAGGATACCAGCATCAACGCCTACCAGTAACTACGTTTCTGCCCCCCCCCTCGTCCTCCACTGGGCCACCTTTTCTATTAAACATTTTATTTAGAACTGACTTATTTTACAAATAAAAAATAAAATATAATAAATAGAGAATTAAATAATTTTAATAACATAAATACAATTGGTTTTACGTTGCACTATTTGCAGGCTTGCCAGATGGTTTAAAAAGCATTTTCCCTGAATGAAATAAATCATTTCTCCAAATTGTCAGCATAACGTGAGGGAATAAAGTTAATATTTACGCAAATAACTTTTTACGGAGGACAGCGACCTTTTTGAAATTTTCAGCCCCCCTCCTGTGCACACGCCCATGCAGAAGAGAGGAAGAGAACTTCTCCATGAATTATTCAAAAATTTGTCACTTTAAAAGGACGGCTAGACTCTTCAATATATTTATTAATGAAGGATATTTACTAGTACTTACATTTTTTCTTACAAATTTAGCAATGTCAACGGTAATACGACAGCTTTCAAATAAAATGCACTATTTTAGACGAGGAAATGAAACCAACGTATTATTTTATGAATTTATTTAGAATCAAACGCATTAAGCTCGATATACGGGTGGGAATATGAATATCAGAACCGTCGCCAAGGGCTCCGAAGTTCGGCTCGAGAGTGTTTGCATACAGCATGGCGACATGGCAGCGACTGAAGAGGCAAAAGGTCCATTTTGAATATTTTACATGGAAGTGGCTTTTTTGTAGAACAAGCAATCTTAATGGATGTTCACAGAATACCAAATTAATTTAAAAATAATTAATTTACTTTACATCTGCTTGAATGAATTTTAATTGTGCCGAGAATCTAAAGATTTATAAAGCAATTTCCCTTAAGGTGCTCAAGGCATTTATTGAAAAAATATCGGAAAATGGGCGTGGATTTAAGCATTTGAAAAATAGAACACCCAACAATATTGCAATACCCCTTCTGCTCCTCAGTGCTACAAAAATGTAATTGACAAAGAAATTTGACAAATATCCACGCAAAAATGCCATGCTTCGCCACTATACAATGTGAATAAAACTCTTCCTAGAATTTTCGACATGGCACGAATAAAGATTGAAAAAACATTATTATATCGTTAATGGTTTATCTAAGTTTCACAATTTATAGTTTTAAACTCCACTGAAAAGTAACTTTAATAGTAGAACTCACTGTGATGCAACAAACTAGTTGTTATATCCGTCAGGAGGCAGGAGAACGTGCCTTAATTAGTTATTCATGCTTTTCACGCAACACGGGGGAACAGACGGACGCCGGGTTGTAGACCCTCTAGTGACCAGGAGACCAGTGGCAGCACGGTAAAGAGTGACGGGCTGGCAGGCAGGAACTTCACCGGCGCTCCCCTGTTCTTGTTTTTTAAATTTATTCGGTTGGCAGTTTGCTTGATTAGTTCTCTTTTATTATTATTGATTATGAATTTTAATTCATTTGACGTCACCTACCGATCTTGGACAATCTGGTAAGGTCGACGTTAATGAATTGTATTATGGGATTAGAGGAGGACAGGCGATGTAAAGATTGTCAGTTGGCATCTATAGTGATTTGAATTTAGTTTAATTTGCTGCGTATTGTGCAATTGCTTTGGAAAAGCGGGTGAGACTTCGGACTTTATACATATTTCGTAATGGATTTGCTTCATCATAAATATGTTGGTGAATGGCGGTACGTTGTAGCTGCTGCTTGAATGTTCAGTGCATGGTGCCAGGCGGTAGATGAAATTCATCCTAATTAGGAAAGTTTCGACTGTGGTGAGTGGTGAATTTCCACGCTGGGAGTGTCGGCGTACGTATTTCCCAGTGAGTCGGTGGCGTCGCCTGAGGTGCGTCCCTGTTGCAAAGAATAGAGCTTCTAGCCTCTGCGGTCCCCGGCGCTTACTAAAACCGCGCAGGTTGAGAAAAATGTTGTTTTCCAGGCTCCCTTGCTCTTCAACGTTGTACTAAATAAAATATTAATCGCAACTTGACGCGTACGGCCGTCCCATTACAGTACTTTAAAGCGAGCACACGCGCTGCTATGTATTGCAATATCAGGGAGTTGCTATCATTTGAGTTATTCAGTAGACCTGATTAAATTTAAAACATTTAATTGAATCTGAAAACATTATACAAAATAAATTAAATAGCTTCTCTTAGGAGTGCAACCAAATGGCACGTAAAAATACCGTAGGTGTTTTAATACCGAAGCAAATAAGCATTGAATTTATAGTTAATGAAGAAGATGCAACATTGAATATAAACGTTACAGTTAATTAATCTGAAATCAAATACCGTGTGGAACATGTGGTACACTTAAATTTGATGACGGTGGCATGCAGATACACCGCTGCCCGTAGACCAGATGAGCGAGATCAAGTAATGATCATTGGAGTTGCGTCCGCGCTAAGAGGGGCGGAGCGAGGCGAGTCGGCGCATGGGCCAAGTTAGAGCGAGATTGCGCAATAACCTCATGCTCAGAGTACGAGTTGCACTAGTTGCACCTACATGATTAATGTCATCATTGCTAGCATTGTACTCGTATGCACTAACACACACGCGTAAGGGCTGCAGTTCGAAAGTTATGCAATACATCACTGAAATGTTAATACAAGCACAGTTTGATGCATAAGTTTGTAACTAGGTTTCACGCGCGATTCTCTAACTAGCTTCATACGCGCTTCTCTAAAAATACTGTCGCCAATTACGAGCACTAGGTAGGCACTGGATGGCACTAGTTGCTCACATAATTCACAACTAGTTATTGCTGATAGCATAATGTTGCTTTCTCTAACAATAATAAACAAAACAATAATACACAAAAGTGCGTTGGAATATGAACAATATATCTAATTGTTTAGAGGTCAATTTCCCGTTACCTTCTATCGTACTAGAGTTTTAAAAACCTTTTATAGGACATTGGGAGTTTTCACTCACCATTTCGTGACTCATGTAACTTATCTACTTCTGCAAACCATGATCTCATCATGTCCATCTTTTCGCACGAAAATTGTTGGATTCTAATTATCGCGTTAAAATTTCCAAACTATGATTTTTCTTTGAGGAAGTACATGTCATGCTTTATAACGCAGTTTCAAGAAAAACTCAGCCCTATTACAACAACACATTAACAAAATACATAAAATACTCGTGAAAACGCTGGCTTCAAAGAACTATTACAAGGTATAGTAGAGTACATTAGATCCTTGTGAGTACTGATGTCCTACGTCTCGTAAATGACGTATACTGAATCAAGACTGTTGGCACACACGCTCCCCCACCCCCTCCCCCGCTCTGGAGTCGCTCCAGTCTTACGCACGTGACCACTGGGATCCCCAGCCTTGCACTGAAAGAAGAGGAGGTATTAAAAGGAGGCGATGGCGAAGCTTTGGAAGGGAGGATACAGAAGCAAACAATGAGAAGACAATCAGCGACAGTCAGCATCATATCACCGTCGGCCGAAACCTCGCATCTGGCACACAGCCAACACCAGGTCCACCAGGCCAGCATACAGCAGTGTGTTCAATGGTGTTCGATGACCTCGTTCACAAAGCGAAGCTATCGAAGCGATGTTTCTCGACCTATTACATCCACGCTGGTGACAGATACCTACCGGAAAGCGCATGGAAATAAACTAAAGATACAGACAGAATAGAGAGATATACTTGAGGAATATTGTACCAAAAGTTTTAAAAGAGCTGAATAACTTGGGGATGCGACACATCACTCGCATCCATTGAGCCTTGCCTCGGGTAGATGCGCTCCTACCTTCATCTTCACTGTGGTATTGCCAGCAATTCTTCATTGTGACATTAAGGCATAGCAGATGGTAAATTAGGTTATTGCAGTTTTCTTTGTTTTGGAGGTGATTCCAGCTAGTTTTGTCAGACAAATAACAGTATATTGTGTGATTCGTTGGTTCCCTCCAAATCATGGGAATGCATCGTTAACCTTGTAACCAGCAATTTTGCCAAACCTTGTAAATTTCTTAGAGGAATTTTCTAAATTCATCAGTGTCATGGATAGAAATTCCTTGTACACATTTCGATTGATCGTGAACATTTACATCTGCAGAATAATTAAAAGAAGATACAGCAAAATAACCAACATGCACCAGTTTCAAGCATTTCCCTAAATAAGGAGTGACGTGTCACAAGAAAACTGAGCCCCCAAAACTGATTTCATATTCGAATTCAGTGTCGAAGTTAGTTAAGAATTCACATTCTTTGTTACAAAACCGCTGATGACCAGTATAATTTATAATTGCGTTGGTCTATTGAGAAACTGAAAAATGGAAACACTCATTACTAGTAGAGATTTGCCAGTGAACTAGTGGGCATCCTTGACATTTACTTGCATTAACAAAAATTCACTTAAAATTAGAAAACTTGCGGTCATTGTATTGATCATTGAATGTAATCAGTCGCCAGGTAATTTGGCGCGCATTTTTGAATTCACGTGTGACTTCGTATCTTACTTGTTTTTGTTTTCTTAAATATTGAAATGCTGAATCAGTGGACCTTGCCAGTATCTGTATGATTAGAATTTAAAAGAAAACAACACAAATACACTGTAGTTGTCTACAGTGTATTTGTTAGTGCTGATGAATCTGAAACAGTGCATTCCCTGTAAGCACAACGAATATCATTTGATGTTATTTATTTTATAAGTGATTGCAGGAATATCACAACATAACCTCATAATGAAAGTGTTTCAAGGAAAGTTGATGCAATATATATTGAAAAATACAGTTAGAACAGTTCAATATAGGTCCTTCACAAATGTTTTGTCTGGACCATTCAATTATGTGGATGGTAGCAAGGTGACACCTGTTGATTTTGAAGATAATATTGTTGTTATACAACCTTCTACCGGTAAAAGGTTATGTTGCGTTCCCGCATCGGGGTCTAAAGATGTTAATCATGCTGTATTAGCAGCCAAACTTGCATTTAAGGAATGGAGCAGGGTAAAACAGATGTTTTATAAACATATGCTGTTTAAACACATGTGTAAAAAAGAAATTATGTATATTACTTCCTCTTCAGCAATCTAATACACAACGAGGAAGATTATTACTGTCGGCTGGTAAAAAGATTCGAGGTAACTTAGAATATATATCTCAAGTAGAGGTTAGTAATAATGGAAAACCTATATGGGAAGCCAGAGTGGACATTGCTTCTTGCGCTGATGCGTTTGAATATTTTGGAGGGATAATAGGTTCTTTAACTGGTGAGTTTTTTTGTTGTTCCTTTTAACTATTAATAATCTGTCAACAACAATGAGCTTCCTTTTTTCATACTGATTTTTATTTAGGTCAGCATGTTCCGTTTCAAGGCAATTCGTTTGCTATTGTTAGTCGGGAACCACTTGGTGTCGTTGGCGGAATTGGAGCCTGGAATTTCCCTTTGCAAACCTGTTCTTGGAAGGTCTGTTGGGTTGTAAACAATTTTTAATAAAGATTATGACTTATAGATATTTTGTTTTATTCATTCTAAACTCCTTTTATTCAACTGAAATTGTTTGGTTAATAGTAGGTCCTAAAATTTGGTGATGAATTGATACAGATAATAAGATTTAAATAGTTATATATAATATAAGAGGTCTCCAAAATTAAGAGAAAAATTCTGTACTTCTTGCTGCTGAAACATGATATTCCATCATTACTGGTATATTTGAAGTCAGCATTTTCTCAGCAGTTAGTATATAAATTTATTTGTGTGTTACTTGGGTTTCTGCAAGTTTTGTCTAAATAGTTTTGATGTGTTTTATTTTGTCAAAGAACAGGTAAAGCGGTATGTGGCTTATGGGGTAGAAGTACTAGTGAAAATGAAGTAACCTCCTAGAGCAGCCACATTGATTAATTGGTTGCCACTATTTATGACCGTTTTTTGGTGGAACAGATTGATTTTTCCATAAGATGTGTGTAAACAAAAATTCCGACGTTTAGGTTGTCACCTAGCACTGCCACCAGTGGCCAGGTACATTTTGTCAATAAATCTGTAATAGAAGATTAGAAATCTGGTTCCATAAAGCTATAATATAAGCAACATTGGCAAAGATCAATTCTTCGTACATTAGAACGCATTGTCAGATTACTAAGAACCATGATGTATAGAGATGCTTATCTCCCTGGAGCTTTAATTTCTGTTTGATGTAACTATTAAAGATTTTCATCCATGATCAAATTTCCTAAGGCTATGAATTGCAGCATCATTAGGATCGAATCTGTGGTTCAAAGGAAACTGCCAGTGGTGAGAAAAAGAAAATGGTGCAAATGTTGGAATGTGAAGGATTTTATAAACAAATTGTTTAAGTGCACTGGAGCAAAAATGCTTCCAGTATTTTGTATGTTAAGTGTAATTAAAAATGTAATAAATGACATAATGTGCTTCACTTAGTTGCAAAAAAATTATACTGGCACTTCACACATTTTCATTACCTTCATTAAGCAGCCACCTGCATTAATAGACATTTTTTCTTTGGAATCATTAGTGACCTCTTAAGGTAAAACCAGCATGCAAGCATCACAAATGTGAGAAGAAGTTTGGGGAGTTGTATATTTTTTATATTAGAAGACCAAAATCACTATTACTTTTAATAGAAAAACATTAACATTCACTACAACTTTTTTGAAAATAAAAATTTCTGGGGAGAATGAATGTTAATGTGGGGCTATAATGAAAAATCAAAAGCAATCAGACTGTCGTTAAGTTTCTTGTTGACATTTTTTAGATAGTCAGTAATTTTTAAAATCATTAACAATACACAGTAAACAGAAAAACCTATTTAGTTTAATGTGTCAGTATTTTTAATGATTTTAAAAATAGTTGACTGTCCAAAAATTGTCTGGACAAAAACCTACGAAAAGTATAATTGAAATTTCTTAATTGCATTTTCATCCCTGTTGCAGAATCTGAACCTACCAGTTGAATAATATGGGGTCAAATTAAATTTTGTGAACCTGAGGTGATACAATTTGCTAAATTATGTCTCCATAGTATATAATCTATGGTATGTTGTCAGGTGGCTCCTGCCCTGGCCTGTGGAAATACAATGGTTTTCAAACCATCTCCATTGACTCCTCTTACAGCTATAATATTGGCTGAATTATTGGAAGAAGTAGGCTTCCCCAAAGGGGTATTCAATGTTATTCAGGTGAATTTTCCCACTAAAATTTTTATATATTTATTTCTATAACAAGATAAAAGGGGAAATTAAAACTGATTATGTTCTTTGTAATTTGAATGGAAAAAGTGTTATCTCTATTTCCACTTTTTTTGTCTGTGGAAGGGAGGTGCTGCTACTGGAAATGCTCTTTGTAGTCATCCTTCGGTAGCCAAGGTATCTTTTACTGGTTCTGTGGATACTGGAGTAAAAGTTATGAAAGCAGGTATTTAAAATGTAAAAAATAAATTAAAAAAAACAGCTAATCCTAAAATAATTTTTTCTTGAAATCTCAAGAAATACATTTTAAGGAATACGCTTTTATTTATTACCTCATTTTTAATATTAAAAATATTTGGACCTTTTTTTTTTTTTGAAAACACACAATACTATTTTTGAATGATTTATTATTTTTAACATTTTGATCCTTATTGGTGTCTTTTTCAAAAATTGTATCTTGGGTCCAGGATTGTAAAAGAACTTTGTTGAACATATACACATATAAATTTCAGCTGCTGATGGCATAAAAAAAGTTACTTTAGAACTTGGAGGGAAGTCTCCAATCATAATATTTGATGATGCAGATATGGAAAATAGTGTGAAAGCCACATTAATGGGAAATTTTCTATCACAAGGAGCAGTAAGTAAATAATGTTTTTAATCATTCTTTCACCAAATCCTAGAAATTTAATGTATTATATATGAACATATAAATAGATATATAAATAAAATATTCAATATTTGATGTAATCATATTTTCGTAGGTTTGCTCCAATGGGACAAGAGTATTTGTGCATGAAAAAATAGCTAGTTCTTTTCTTGACTGTCTAATAGAAGCAACAAAAAAGCTGAAAATTGGAGATCCTTTTAAAGAAGATACCACTGTTGGCGCAACTATCTCAAATGATCATGCTAGAAAAGTTTTGAGATATATAAAAAATGCAAAAAAATCTGTAAGAATTTGTAATCTAGCTATTCTTGAAAAAAGTGAAACTACATTTTTTAATAATAATTTTTTTCAGGGTGCAGTTGTTGCATATGGTGGTGAAATAGTTACTTTACCTCCTCCTCTGAACGAAGGTATCTATATATCTCCTTGCATTTTGACAAACTGCAATGACACAATGCAAGTTGTGAAAGAGGAAGTCTTTGGTGCAGTTCTCTCATTTCTGACCTTCTCTTCAGAAGAAGAAGTGATAGAAAGAGCTAACAATACCAAATTTGGTTTAGCAGGAGCAGTTTTTACACGGTAAACAATATTCATTCATAAATAAAATAAGATTCATTAATGAATTTTTATTCTTTCTCATATACTTATATATACATATACATACACATAGTACTAAAGAAGTAATACTGCAGGAAATTTTTGTCCTAATTTTAATGGAAGAACACAATTTTGAGTCCCCTGGTATTCAAAAAGTATATATTTTCAAACTTTTATTTGTGTCTATATATCTGTCTGTGAACAAGTGCCTAAATTAAAAAAAATTTTTTTTTTTTTTTTCAAAATGAATATTCCCTTATTGATCTGACTCAAGTTGAGACCCTCCGAATTTGTAACAAATCTATTAATTTGGGGGATTATTCACATGAAAACCATGGGACCTATTCAGAATTTTCTCAAAAATTATTTAAAATTTTTTCTTTATATTTCTCTTTTTCTTCAATAGCTTTGCAGTCTTTCTTGAACCTTGACCATGAGAATATATTTCCTCCCTCCTTGCCTGTCTTCAGCTTCTCTCCATATCTGCACTCCCAATAATTGTCTTGTGTCCCTACCATGGCATCTTCCCATCTATTTCTTGGTTTTCCTGTTGGTCTACTGTCATACAGTTTACCATTTAACACTTTCGATGGCAGTCTATCATCTTCCATCCTCACCACGTATCCTGCCCACTGTAATCTGCAATCTTACATAGTCACCACAGGTGACTCCTTGTATAGTCAATTTATTTCTTTGTTATGTCTTGTCCACCATATGCCAATTTGTTGTATGAAGCCTAGAATACATCTTAAACTTTCCTTTCAAAGATGTATTTGCTTAAACCTTCAATATTTTCACTTAAATTAATACATAATATAAATAAAAAAAGCTATCAAAAAAATACAAACTGAACCACTCGCCAAAATATTCCATTTAAAAAAGAAAGAGGAATCATAAATATAAATAATATAATTAATTTTAACATCATAATACCATAAAAGACTGAAAATAATCATTTCCATGAGAAAAACCATGGAAATTAAAATTCCTAATTCCAAAGAAACTTCACAAACTACAAATACTAAATAAATTATAGAAAAATACAATTCATATTGAATTCTTCTCTACTAAAACACTAATAAGAAAAAAGTAAATAATACTATATGTTCCTAAGTCAATAAAATAATCAATATATGTTTTCGTTTAGAACAATAAATTTAAATGCCACTAAAATTACAAAACATTATCATTATCAAACAAAAAAATGCAAACATTAAGTTTTAATAGTTTAATATAAAACATTGGTATTGTAAATCATAATTAAGAATATCTTCTAAAACCTCAGAGAAAGATATATTTCACCCATCACCAATCCCCAAAATTAGTATTTTAATTAAACTATTCTCTGATATTGATATACTTATATTCACTTTCATAATATTAACAATCAATATATTTTTTTATTATAATAAATCACCCATTAGCTATTACCCTACATATTATTATAGAAACATTAATAATCTGTCTTATTACAGGATCAATCTCCTACTCATTCTGATTTTCGTATATTCTATTCATAAACTTCCTAGGAAGAATATTAATATTATTCATTTACATTAGAAGACTAGCATCAAATGAAATATTTCCATTACCCATTAAATCATAACTACTAGTCTTATAATATCCACTATTATAATTTTAATTACAAGTACTCTATATAATCATACATTATCATTCCATCTATATAAAATTGATTCTTTTATAAATAAAATTATTAATATTGCAATAGAAAATAATAATTTAAATCAATTTTAAAACTATCTAAATATCCCTCTAACAATTATTAAAATTATTTATCTTTTAATCACACTAATTATTATTGTAAAAATTACCTCCCTTCAAGAAGGTCCCTTACGACATTCAAATTAATAACTAATTTATTAAAGAATTTCGTAGTTAATTAATTGTAAATAAATAAATCTTAACGAACAAATAACCCATTATTTAAAATTATTAATAATTCACTAATTGATCTACCAACCCCATCTAATATTTCAACATGATGAAACTTTGGCTCCCTATTAAGATTATGTTTAATTATCAAATTATCTTTCTAGCTGTACAGTATACTGCTGACATTAACATAGCATTTAATAGAATTAGTCATATTTGTCGAGATATAAATTTTGGTTGACTTCTATGAACAATGCATGCTAACAGCGCATCATTCTTCTTCATCTGCCTCTACATTCATGTAGGTCATGGATCTTATAATGTAATATACACTTGGATAGTAGAAACTCTCTATTTTCAGTAATAGCTGCTGCCTTTATAGGATATGTATTAGCATGAGGAAAAATATTTTGAGGAGCCACCGTTAGTTATAAAATACTTTTAAAAAAATACAGCAAAGATGTTCTATGATTACATATTAATATTTATTTTATTTGACAGTGATATACAGAGAGCTATGAGAGTAATTCGCCAACTTGAAGCTGGAACCATATGGATTAACAATTATAATATATATCCCCCAGAAGTGCCATTTGGAGGTTACAAATTTAGTGGCTTGGGGAGAGAAAATGGTACTGCAGTTTTAGAGCATTACACTCAGCAAAAAACTGTATATATGGAGGCAGGAAATGTTGATTGTGGGCCACTCTATCAAAAATAATTTTTTGTGAATTTTTATTATTTCACTTGTTCATTATTAATGATTTTTTCTTTTTGGTTCATGACACACCCATAACACAGCATGGACACTTGAAAAAGCAAACAAGCCAACATTTCCTATTAAGTTAAAAAAATATTATTGACAAAACATTTTTGAATTTGTCACTTTTTACTTCAGTAGTATAGTCTAAGTGTCAACATTGATAAAAAACATAACTAAAATATTTCATCCATAATGTCTGTTTTACATATATATATATATATATATATATATATATATATATATATATATATTATTTTAATTCTATGTCCTGTGAGACCTAATAAATTTACAAATATTTAATATGCATCATGTAACCATTTAATAGTGCCACAAGGAAACACTTCAAACTTCTGAGTAATATGACAATTCCAATCATGTATAAATCCCCTTTTTATCAAGTTAATTGTATCTGAATTACCTAGCCTTCTCTTGCTCACATTTATGCGTAAAAACAAAAATTTTGGTTTCTGTATGTGGACTAAATTAATGATGAAAAGGTGCATTCATTCGTATTTAATATTAGTATTATAGTATAACAAATAAACTATTTGCATTACTACTGTAAAATCAGCAAGCATCTGACAGTTCCTCCAATGATTTATGAGCTCATAATCATTACTGTAGGAAGCTGAAAAGAATAAAATAGTAAATAAAATCTCTCAATCGATAATTGCATTTGTCGTCAAAGTTATCTTTGTCACCTACACAAGGACAGGCCCAGCATCTTGTAATCAGCAGGGCTCAGATTCTGATGACCTATACATTCACATAAAAATAAGAGGAAAATTACCTATAAAATGACTAAAATAAGAGGAAAATACTTTTTGTTCAAATACTCAAAAATTTGTTTCAATGTGTTTATTTAGTTATTGAATTTTACATAAAATTTATATACTCAAAAATATATTCCATACAAACCTTTATTGTAGGAGGAAATGAAATCTTTGGCTCCGACCTTTCAACTGTCAGTTCTGAAAACAGACATGGAAGTTACTAAACATTATCCATTTTTAATTTTGAGAGTTCGAAGAACAAAGTCCACTGCTGAAGTGTATTTTGTCTTGAACAGATGATGCAAGAAAATTTTGTTTTAGTATGTCGTAAATTCATAAAACACTCACTAACAAAAAACATGAAAAAGAAAAAAAGTTGTAAAAATAACAAAAATGATGCAAAGGTCTAGAAAAATGACCCAATTACTGTACATTTATATCACCTATATGTTGTGATATTGTTCATTTACAAGTCATCTACATCTAGAATGCACTAACGAAAATATGACATATCATCACCATTCAAGCCCTGGTAATCATTCATCAACGATATTGCTTTGAAACACATTTCCATCAGTTCATGCTGTATTGATCAACAAGGCTATATAATTATAAATAAAAAATGAATTTTTTCAGCTACATTTAAGATGTGTTAATTTGTTTGGCTGATCACTTTAATTACTCTCAAATATTCATTTTCACATTTTTAAATTTTTTACTCATTTTACCAGTTTTTAGAATCATAGTCGTACTTCGATAAAAATTACTCAAGGAAGCTTGTTACATTAGTGATATTATTGTGAAATTAACAAAAGGAATGAAGAATCTAAGGATCCAAGCCATTAGTGATAATGAAGGGTATTAACACAACTCATTTCTGAAAGTGGCAGGTTTATTTAAAAACTTGTCAAAAGTACCATATATTCCATGAACATAATATTTGAAGTAGTATTTGAGAAGTAGTATCTAGTACATGAAACATTCCATATTTTGGGATGAGTGGAAAAGAAAAAAGTGTTCAAGGAAAGAAATTGTTATTGTTTTCAATTGTGTTCATTTATAGAGAAAGCATTTGCCCATTTCTTTTTGTTATTGATTGTGTAATGAACTACTCTGCACTCTTATTAATGACTACTTGATACAACCAATTGTAATTATAATAATATAATTGTACAAGTTGCCTTGGAAAATATTACTCGCGCAACTTTTCTTGAACGATGACCTTGCTTCCCCTGCCAAGGCACAATGAACAGTTGAAGGCAAAAGCTCACAGCTGACATTCCCAACAAGCTCACAGCTGACAGCATGACATTCCCAACACACCCGTAATGGTGTGAAATAGGGACAATTTGCTTTTGAAGGTGACAACTTTTATCCGTTATTTTCTCCACAAAATCTAAAGAAATGATGGAAGCAGATAAAGATCTATCGCAGGCTATACCTCAAGCTCCTGAGAAAGTTAGAACGCAAAGTATTGAGAACATTGTAAATGCATGACGGATTCTTCAGAGATTGGCATTGCTTCATAAAATCTAGTAGCCAGTTTCAAAAGTAATACCCCCACTCTACCCGCATTTCTTCAATCCATCATTCAAGTAAAGTTGCATTTGTAATATTTATCCTGTTAATATTAAAAAATGTTAAATTAAAATCAGTGTTGTTTAGGTAGTTGATAACATGAATTCTCATTACAAATGTTAAATCTGAAATATTGCAGTTCATTTAACTTGTGATTATGTGACATTGCATTCTGCAGTTCTTATTGTTATTAGAAAACAAAAGATAAATGAAAGCATTTCTTTTTTTTAAGATTTTACATACTAGTTTGTTGTGATATATTCTGTAAATAAATTAGTAAATATATTTTTATAGAATATTATTTTTGGAGTATTTAATTGAAGGTTGGGAAGTAAATGTGAGCCCATCATAAAATGGAGAATCGATGTCCAATTAACAGAATCTGAGGAAAAGAATGGCTTCAGGGCAGGCAGGTCACACATTGACTTACATTAAAACGTTTAATGGAGAAAAATGCTGAGAGAGGTAGAGCTATCTATATGGTATGTGTGGACTTATAGAAGGCATATAATACAGTGCCATTAAATAAGTTGTGGCTAGCAATGAAGGAAAATGATATCACTAATGTCTACATTGATGCTATTTGTGGCGGCGATGGTGTAACGGTTAGCGTACTGGACTTGCGTTGTACCCAAGTTCAAGGCGGGTTCAAACCCGATCGAAGCCGTGGATTTAGGGCGAAAAAATCCTTCGGAGGGGAAGTAAAGCCGGCTGTCCCATGTTCGTAAATTTACTTGCATGTAAAAGATCCTCAAGCCTAAATGACGCCTCTGAGCTAAATTCAAATCGCCTGTTTCTCGCCCAGGAAATACCTCCTTTCTCTCCTAGTTGATGAAAGGAGCGTAGCGAAATTTGCGTGGTCAGACGGAAGAGCGGGCCTGATGGCCCGAGTCTCGCCACGTAAAATAAGGCAAATTCAATTCAACTTCACGTACGCGACATCCTGCAATGGCCCACTAAGAGTTTCATGTGATTCTTGTAAGAGATGTTGACGTACATTGTGTTGTTCTTTTCAGTATTGATTTTTTATGTAGTAACTCCATTTACATTTTCTGAATATTTTTATGACAAAGGTATCAGGAAATTCAGTAAATTTTTGATTTTCTAACATTGTCTCACACAAAAATTAGTAAACAATTTTTTGAAAATGGCTTAGAACCAATCAGCAAAACGTATTTATTTATTTACGTCAAAAACAGTTAAAAACTATGTGTGACATGCTGTGGGGAGAAGTTAATTTGAAGTTACATTTATTCCCAGATGCAACACAAGGGGCCATCTCAGCATTTGCTCATGGATCAGGGAAACTGGACGAAAATCTGATCGAAATAGGGGTCACTGATCCAGAAGCTGAAGTACAATACTTGTTACAGGTTCTTTAGAATTATACAATCCAAATGGTAAATAATACACTAAATGTCGTTAAAATTAATATTACTTTCTTTTTGGATGTTCGGTATAGTCTCTAATTGTATAGAAATAGTTGAGCAGCAGAAAAGATTTTACTTGAGACTTAAACTTTTGTATCGGATTTAATCGTTTAAAGTCACCTGGCAAGGTGGTGTAAAATAATGTACATGTATTGTTTGTGAATTTTGTGTAGTGAGCTGTTGATACTGTCACCTGATGAATGTGATTACTACGCCGAGTGTTGTAGTTATGGACATCAACGTTTGCTGAAAATATATTCCCGATTGTAAGTGAGTCATTTTTGACAAAAACTACGGATTCATATATCAAGAGACAAGCTAATGGTAACTTTCTTGCAAAACTCCTTATCCTCTGTGGGTTGTAGCTGAGGAGAGTGGCACGCTGCTAGAATATCACACGTCGCGCGGCTAAGAGCATCAGCATTCGAATTTTGGTCTGCCTTTCTATAATCTATCTCAAAATGATATTCGTAAATAGATCATACTAGCGGAACCCGGCAGACGTTGATCTGCCCTTCACCTCCCTCGTTCTCCTTCCCTTGTCCTTTCTCTCACCGTCTCTCACTCCCTGTCTCTCTCTCTATCTCTCTCTCTCTCTCTTTCTCTTTCTCTTTCTCCTTCTGTCTCCGGTTGTCTTATATCTCTGCCTCACTCTCAGTCTCTGAATCTCTTTCTCTGTCTCTCGCGCGCACCCGTCCGGTTCTCCCCAGCCACGTCCTGCGTCACACGGCAACGCTCAGAAATAAAGAAGCAGAGGTGGAGCGCAGTTTGAATGCAAATTGAATTAAAGTGAAGCGCTATCTTGTGTTGCAGCGCCATCTAGTGTATTTACTGCCAAACTAACAGCTTATAAGCCTGGGTGAAAAAACACATAAAGTTTCATCGATCGACTACTCGGTGTCGGAGTTTACTGCTCTGGTGTATACCAACATCCATTTTTTAAAATATGTGTGTGTATTTTTATATATATATATATATGTGTGTGTGTGTGTGTGTGTGTGTGTGTGTGTGTGTGTGTGTGTGTGTGTGTGTATCTATAACGCTCAGTGGTAGGGCGCTAGCTTTCTGACCTAAAGAACCCCATTTCGAATCCCGACTTGGTTTGTGATTTTTAACTGGTGATTTGCAGTCGGGGCGGTTCAGAGGTCGACTCAGCCTCCTTTCCAACCGAGTATCAGGATATTTCCTGAAGGTACCGGTGGCCGGAGCGTTGTGTCCGCAACACAACTGCCTCCTTGTGCCGACTGCGACGAGAAGGTGAACCCTACCTTCACCTCCCCTGTGGGCCACAAGTGGGCCTGTGTGTAATTTCACAGAGATACCTTTTTATATGGGGCGTTCGAGTCATGCTCAGAACCGTACAAACACCCACGCTGCTTATGTGACGCCAAGTCGGGTCCCCGCAACACAGGCATGCCACTGATGAAGGTGCGAAACCGCGACCTGGTATCTGTGGCCCGCGGCTCGACCGCCGGACGGTCCATGGCGAACGCGAAGTCAATCGTGACG